GAAAACTTAAGAAAACACACACACACACACACATACACATATATATATGTATATGTATATGTGTACACACACATGCACACACACACACACACACACACATATATATACACACACACATACATGGAAAAATTGATGATTATAATTTCCACTGCATAACATTGAATGCACAATGCACTAAACTGCAGCCAAATATTATTGATTGATTGATGCATATGGTTAATCACAACACTGAGTGCCTCACTACAGTCGTATTAAACCAAAGAGTGCACAAATCATAAAATAATTAAACATAAATAAAGAAATAAAAAACATTACACTAATCAGTCTTCCTGAATGCAGTTAACAGAACTCTTCCAATTCTGATTTTACTTATCCCAGAGCCTGGGAGGAGAACTCTCTCTTAACACCATTCAGAAAAGTTAAGAGCAGGGCCGTCAAACTCCCAACCCATGGGCCAGATGCGTCATGCACTGGCTATGTCCACGCCCAGTTTAGCGAAGGGGGAAAAAGTCCTGATACATTACGTGATGCTGCTGTGACAACCTGAGTGTGATGCCCCTGGTTAAGAAGGTGAGGCCTACTGGATTTCAAAGTGAAAAGTGTTCCTCAGAGTAGGAGCTACTACAGAAAATGCACATTTCCTAGGTGCCATTAGATAGCAACATTTAAGGGAAGAGTCCTAGCATGTGCTTATTTTATGTGATCTGGTGGAACAGGTAAGATATTTTCAAAAAGAGATGGTCTTGCAAATAGCCTCTTTTCATGCCCTGCAGGAGAATAAAAAACAAATGTAATTGTATATGAAGTTGATTGTGGTTGTGTTGCACAAAAAAAGACTCATGAACTAGAGAGGCCAAATCTTACCTTATATTTATTTTTCATTCTTATTTTAGGATAGAACGTCTGGCCAAAGATATCATGCAAGACATTGGACACAATGACATCGTGGTTCTCTGTGTACTTAAAGGTGGCTACAAATTCTGTGCTGATCTTGTGGAACATATTAAGAACCTCAGTAGAAACTCAGAAAGGTTCATCTCCATGAAAGTTGACTTTGTTAGAGTGAAAAGTTATCAGGTAAGTAATAATTTTAAAAAATACGTTTTGGAATGTGTTTTGATTAGTGCAGTTTTCTTCAGTCTGATGCTCTACAGCTATATTTCACCTAGGATTTCTGCAATTCCTAGTTAACATGGTCTGGCTGAGAATTCTGGATATTGTTACTATACAAATAAGGACTGCAAGCTTAATTAAAACAGGATTGCGAGCACAATTGATAAAATGTGATGAATTAGTTTCTTTAGCAGAATCAAGAGGAAAACAATTTCCCTGTTTTTCTAACACACTCAAATTTGTTCCAAAGAGTTTCCCAAAGTTTGAAATAGAATTGGGAACTTAGATTGGGAAGGAGAAAATGAAACTGTCCTGTTAAAATTCATCCTTTTTTTAAGCAGGTTTGATGGTGGATTTTCCCAAACTCATGCTGTTGTAAGTCTATGAGTAGATTGATATGGTAATGATAATAAACTGTATTTTAATAGGTTTTTCTTTTTCTTTCTTGAAGAAAATATACTGAATCTTTGGGAAAGATGTTTAATTTAAGACCCTGCATTGACTTTACTAGTATAATGAATTCTTTATCCCAGCTAGCATCAGATTCCCCTTTTTCTTGGTGCTGTAGAAGAAGAGACATTGAGCCAGTTGTTGGTTTACTTGCTGCCAGGAAGTTTCCTGTGTTACTTAGAAATTTTAACTTACATTAATACCTACTTAAAGTTATATTTTAAATGTGTTTTAAAGTGGGTTTCAGACTAGTTAGCTGAAATTCAAAACTGAGCAACCCCATACTTTTTCTTTTTTTTTTTTGAGTGGTGAGAGGTTAGGGTTGATCCAAAATTTACTCTTCCTTCCCAAGTTGCAGTGACCTCCCCTTCTCATAATGCTATACAGCAAATGAATATAGAAACTGGGGAATTCCCAAAGCACTTTCTTATAATGCATATGGTCACACAGCTGTTGAAAACGAAAAAAAGGAAAAATTCTTCTGTGCTTGCCCAAGGCCTCAGGGGTGAATTCAAATAGCTCTTTGGGTGGTTATCATTGTTTACTGTAGATACTTCCTTCACTTTGAATTATGAATATGTATGATATCTACTGTAGAATAGGAAGCTGGACTATCAGTAGGCAAGGTTGTCCACATTTCTTTTTGACCTACAGGCATGAGTTAGTTCAAAGAATACTTTAATTAAGAAGGATTTTGGGTTGTTCTGTTATTTCTTTGGCATTTATATGCCTTTTTAGGGCTTGTGTTTTCGGACCATTTCTAACTAACTGGAATGCAGGCATTGCACACCAAATTCATCCCTGTCCTATAAAATTAGTATTTGCACTTCTGGATCAATTCACACGTGCTTGGATTCCACTTTTGCACCAATGACATTTATATATGCAGCTGATGCGACAAGCAATTTGTGAATAAACATTCATTTGACTTGAATACTTTTAATTCTGCAAGCGTGGATCACAGGCTTTCTAACTCCTATCATTCAGTTGTCCTCTTAAATTTAGCCTTTCTTTTTTTGGTTCTTTTTTAAAATAAATTTGTTTATTCAACATTTCAACAATTAACACAATTTTCCACATTCTTTTTCGGTTCTTAATATCTTACTCTACCTTCCTAATCCAGAGAGCAATATTCTTCACTTGATTGATTTTTCTATTTCTGAGGATCCCTCTACTAACCGTTTCCCATTTCTCTTTCTTAAGGGAGTCCTGCTGCTTTTCTGTTCATTTTATGCAGCTGTGCTCTTTTCTTTCTCCAACTGTTTGTCTCCAAGATCCATGTCCAAGTCTTGTAAACAGTGGTGGGATTCTGATGGTTGTTTTTGCTCGATGTTCAGCATTCATGGCTAAAAGGTTAGTTTATTACACTGCAACGTTAAAGGGGAAGAGGGGGGAGCTTCTCAACTGAAGCACAGAAAACATTCCTACAATAATTAGAATGTACATTTGGTATCTATGAAAAATAGTAGAATTGGGACAGTTTAAAAGTGTGCTGTTTTATCACTCAGGTGTACAACCTGAATCTACACTTATTCTGTGAAAACCTTGGGTGAAATCCAAGTATACATTGTGAGTTGTTACACATCTGTTAATGCGAATATGGTAATAAAATAGGGGATAAATAACTGAAGACTAAGTGGATAACATTTTTTTTTAATTACCTATCCTTTTAAATCAAAATAATGGTATCTTTTTGGAACATGTCCATCACTTGCAGTCAAGCAAGAGTTTAGCCCTTGGACTAGAAAAGTTGTACACATCTGCCTAAGTGGGATGTTGTTTTGGACAAGATTTAGGGGTGTGCAGCTGGACTGATAAAAGAAATTTCCTATGTCTTTATCCCTAGGAAGCTCCTCCTGACACTTTAAAAATCATAGACAAACTAGACTCTGTTAAAAGTGGTTGGCTATGTTGCCAAATAGTGAAGTAGGAATCCCTAAACATTAATAACACCCTTTCAGAATAATTTCTTACATTTGCGATTTGTCAAGAGTGATATTGATTTGACTGGCAGGAGAAGAGATGCCAAGCTTTGTAACCAATTTATTGTGCTCACCTGAGTTGAGAAACATTGGTCTAAATTGTGACCTAATACAAATGACTTTTCTACCCCTACCTTAACCATCTTTTAAAATCCTTTTGATAATGGGTATTTTTCTCCTTTGGAAGCATCTCGCAGTAAGCATTCATTTTCTTGTGCTTTCCTATCTGCAGTTGAAATGGTGATTTGTGCTGTGTTCTCTCTCACTATGTGGCCATAGATTAATTACCAATTGGCGCCTGGCTGGTGGAATGGATTTCCATAAATGTTAGAGTTGCTGTTTAAACTAACTTGACTTTTCAAATGAGTGGGAGGGCCAGGTTGAGAAGTCAAATTGACACTTGATTTGGCCCTCTGATATGAATGTTGGCAAGGGATCTTTGGCAAATAAGTCTTTCTCTCTCTTTTGGTAGAAACTGCTTGTTTTTTATTCTGATCAAAGAGCACTCTATTAATATGTTGGGGAGATGTGAATTATGCTTCTTTTAATTGCTCATTTTAATGCCTTCAGAGCCGAGTACATAAATGATTGTATGTGCTCTACCAACACAATATTCCCAGTCTTCTGGTTTGAGAAGACATGAAAATGATATAGGTACTCTCACAAAACAGTAGTATGGAGTGGACTAATCACAAAGGACATAAAAAATTGATCAAAATGCTATCTGCCCTTCTTCCATTGTTCTCCCTCCTGCAACGTACTGCCTATTTACTTCTCCTTCTCCTTGCTTCTTACTCTGAGTAGTTGGGCACACTTTCATGGTAAGGACAAGCCTGAACTTCCCTTTATTTTTATTGTCCAGGAAAGCTCGTTGCATCCAAAATATTTGCTTGGGTGGCTAATGAAGGACCATAGATTGGGAATTTGCTACATAATACAGATGCTGTTTTCCAGCAACAAATACTTTGTAGTGCAAAATTCAGCTAGCTGTTTGACAAAGGAGGGAGAGGGATATGTTTGTAGGACTACAATGGATATTTTGCAGAAGCAGACAAGGTTGATATCTGGAAGAACCATAAAGTCTTGATAGGTTCTAGGATTAATTGTCTGAACTAAGTTCTAGGTGTTTTTCTCTAGAAAGAAGTCTTTTATTATATTTTTTTAAAAAATATTTGTAGGTCGATATCTGTCACATGGAATTTTTTTACATGTAAAAAATATACCCATTATAGCGTTAAAACTTTTAAAAAATCAACAGCTGCTTAAAAGCCGCTATTAAAAGAGACAGAACAACATTGTTAAAAGGCAAAATCTAATAATGAAAGAGTCTAAAAAATTCTTAATCTCTCAGAAATATTTGATGATCTTTCTCAAGATAAAAGTAGTGTACCAGTGAAACAAACTTGCCTCATCATTATAGTATGTTTCTGTTCACTGGAGCTCTTCATATTGAAGGTAGATAGTAGTCCTCTGAAGTGCCTTATTAGGCCTTGCAGAAAGCAAAGAGTTAGACTATATGATCTCTGAGTCCCTTCCAACCTTGTGATTCTAAGATGAAAAAGCTAGCTTAGCTTATGCCAGCCTGATGCTTTTCAAATATGTTGGATTACTTCTCCTATAATGTTGAGTTGCAATGGACTAAAGACCATCATGCATGCCACAAATCCCAGACTTTCTTGACATTTAAGTTCCTTCTGTGCAAAATCTATATATATAAAAGTGAAATACCCCTCATGCATCATCACAAAATCTCCAGCACCGTAAAGCCTACAAACTTGAAACTAGCACGTATGTTCCTCTTGGCTTCTAGGTGCTCTAAGAAAGGATTTTTCGAAATGATCATCAGAGCATTAGTATTTCGTATATTATTATTAACACGCTCTGATGCTAAGGAGTTCTGTTCCACATGCAAAACACAAGCAGAGGAGAGAAGTTTCAGTTTTAGTTTCACAGCAGCAACCAGCTTTAGCACAGAACAGTTGAGCTAAGCCATGCCCAGACTCCTTGCTTCCTCCTTCTTGCTCACACAGCAAGTACTGTTTCAGTTTCCAAACAGCGCTCTCATACACTGACAGGATGCTATCCAGATGAATATAGATGGATGCTGGTAGGCAGAGGCAGATTTTTCCCCCTTAATTTCCTCCCCCAAAACTAAACTCCACCACATAGTTTCATAACGAAGCACCACTGGTATCGAGCTAGTTTCTAATATATTTTTAGAAACCATAGTTGCTTAGCCTATATCAGTACCTGTTAAAGAAATAGCTGTTTTTCTATTGGTTATTCATGATTTGGGAGATTTTGAATCATAACAATGTGCTTAGCCTGCTATAACTATTATCTTACTTCCTTTTCCTTTATGCTAACAATATTGCCTGCAAAGCATTTCCTTTCATTTAATTCTGGAAAAGGGGCATCATTAATCGGAGCAACCCCAGATTCTTTATAATTTCCCCATAGATTTGGATGAAATCCTTTGCTGGCATCTCTTAAACCTTGCTCCTTAAAATAGATCCAAGTCATTCACTGCCT